CCGCCCCTTCCCGTGCCAGGGCGCGTCCCAGAGCTCTCCTCCGGCTTTCCAGCACCTTCCAGCCCCCCACCCCTCCAGTCTTACCACTGTGCCGCGCACAGGGTGTGCAAGCCGGCGGCCGTCGCTGGCTGCATTCACGTTACGCACGGAGTTCCGGCGCCTGTTCGGCGTCGCCGTGGGGACGTCCGCTCCAGCAGCTTCCGCTCCAGCACCGCGCTGAGGGCCGGGCCCGCTCCCAGCAATGTCGGCTCCAGCACCGCGCTGAGGGCCGGGCCCCCTGAGAGGTTCCAGAGCCGCCATCAGCAGCAGGGTTCCCACGGAACCCGAAACGTGGGACATTGCCTTCATTCGAACTCAGGCGGGGCAGCCGAGGCGTCTCCGCTTTGATTGTGACCAGCGGATGGACACTGGACGCGGTGTGTTGCCCCCGGCTCGCAGGTCTGTAAGACGCGCATGCGCCATGCACTTCCCAGGCGCTCCCGCGCGAGGCCGGATGGGGCCTGTAACGGAACGCCGCGCCCAGGGGTTTAACGCTGCATCTTACGCCGAGTCCACGTGGCCCCACGAAGCCCACAGGTAACCCAGCCCAGGAAGAGCGCGAGCCATCGTATGTATTAGAAGGAAAACTCAGGTAGGAACGGTTCAGTGCCATAATTTCCACACACATGAATCATGCCAGTATTTCATTTAAAAAAAGACCCCACAAATACTGCGGTGCCCACCCACCTGATCTGATTTCATAAGAGAGGAACGCAAGTGAAGCAGTAACGGGGTCGGCTCTTGCGTTTCCTCCCTTTAAGTCCAAGCTTTAAAGGTTCTACCACTACTGACTTGGAAGTTCCAGGTCACAGGGATTTTCCCATGCACCTGACTAACTTACTTGGCTTCCTTTCCCCCCAAAATGTCTGTAGGGCTGGGAAGGTGGCTCAGTGGGTAGAGCGCTCGCCTTGAGCTGAAGAGCTGAGGGACAGTGCCCAGGCCCAGAGTTCAGGCCCCACAACTGAGGGGGAAAAAGTCTATAAAACACATATATTTAAGTCTAGAATTTTGGACACAGAAAGGAGAGAAAATCACGAACAATGGAAACACACACACACACACATCACCTTTTGCCCCTGATCTCTCATGAGTGACCTTCACAGGCATGAAGACAGAATGAACCCAGCAGATGGCTGCCTCAGCCCTTCTGACTACTGGATGTGTGCTTATTTGCATGTCACCTCAGAATGAGCTATGCTATCTCGATTTCCTTTAGTGCCTTGGTCCTTTTCACAGTACTGAATGGAACCAATGTGAGATAGCCGAACTCCCCCCCCCCCGGAAGTTCTGCCTCAGCTCTAGAATGCCTACCTTGATTAACGCTGTCCTTTCAGTTGGCAGATGACTTGATCTGGGACATTTTTGTGGCCACCGGCTCTGTGTTGCTAGCTCTGTTGTTCCTCCTCCTGCTGGCCCTCATCGCTTCCATCGTGGCCTCCAACAAAAGTGCCACTCAGGGAAGCTACAGCCCCAGCCGCCAGGAGAAGGAGAGCTTCCGCGTAGAAATGTGGAGCCACGCACCACCGCCAGCCGTGGAGAGGCTGATTTAGGAGTGGCAGCCCCATCCACGTCCGTGACGACTGTGCTCACCCCTACAGATGTTCAACCACAACCCGGGCTACTGTGGACCTGGGGAAGGATCTGTGACCGCCTTACTGGAGTTCCATACGGTTCCATTGAACCACTGTCTGATGACATTGGCCAATTAGCAAAGAACAACCATTCACTCCGGCTTTCTAATTAGCAAGGATGAGCCAGAGGACCAGATCTGTTGGAAAAGGCTGTAGTGACTAGAACTTAAACTTACTCTTCGCAACCCAGGGACAACTTATTCAGTTTGCCTGTTAGCAGGCAACCTCCATATTTTTTTATTTATTTTTTATTGTGATAATACTGTACAGAGGGGTTACAATTACATGGGCAAGATAATGAGTACATATCAAGCATTGTAGCCTCCTCCTTTGTTTCCCCTTCCCATCCCTTCCCAGCCTCCCCCCCAGTCCTCCCCCCTCCATATTTTTTTACACCAGAACTATAGGAGATGCACGTGTACACACACGTTTACAAATGTATACACAGATATAGACAAGCAGACACAGTTTTCTGCTGTCATTTCTACTCCATTTATGTGGTAAAAAGTTTTCATTGTGTGCTAGGGATGAGATATATACTTTTCTCTATCAATCATGGAATCATAGAAAACCATGGGGGGAGGAATCATGGTTTAAAAGCAACCCAACTGTAATAAACAAAATTTGAGGTATAGTGGTTCTCCTGAGTTTGTGTTTGTTACTGGTGTGTGTGTGTGTGTGTGTGTGTGTGTGTGTGCATCTTTTGACATTACATGTGACAAAAAGTAACCCTTAGAAATATTTGATGAGCTTACTAATGAATTAGACCTTGTAGCTAAGTTCTCTCCATCTTACAGGGATGATATTGAGTCACTATTCCATAGAAAAGTTTGCTTACAATTAAAACATTTTCCAGACCAAAATGAAGATAGGAAAAATGCAAATTCTCACAATTGAAAGACAAGTTCTTTCACCTGAGTCTTGATGGACTGTTGTGGCTGATTGTCTGGTGGTAAGACCCCAAAGACAGAGACAGATGCGCCCTCAGGGTAACATGTGCAAAACCAGCCATAAGGTATGAATAAGATATACTAAGTGCGGGGCTGGGAAGGTGGCTCAGTGGTAGAGTGCTTGCCTTGCATGCATGAGGCCCTGGGTTCGATTCCTCAGCACTCCATAAGCAGAAAAAACTGGAAGTGATGCTGTGGCTCAAGTGGTAGAGTACTAGCCTTGAGCTGAAGAGCTGAGGGATAGTTCCCAGGCCCTGAGTTCAGGCCCCACGACTGACCAAAAAAAAAAAAAAAAAAAAAAAAAATATATATATATATATATATATATATATATATATATATATATATATATATATATATACTGAGTGCTCCATTCATTTTTCTACACAATATTTATTACATTTTACCCATTTTGAAACGCATGTAACATGCTTCTGTAGTATAACAAGTAGAAATATACCTATATATTTTTGATACAAGATTGAAAAGTATAATTGCATGAATTTTTAAAGCTGGCCTAGAAGATTCCATCCATCTCAACTGCTGTTATCCTAGCAAATTCCTCTTTTCCCCTGTCATTCTGTTTTCCAACCATTCTGGCCAATAACCCAGGTACTCAAAGTGCTGCTCTATGGCGTTCTCTCCACAACCCTTCCTCTAAACAGGCTTTCATTCCTCTGCCTCCCTTTTCAGCCAATTATGTACAGATCAGTTTCCTATATTCACTGTCTCCTCTTTCTCTCCTCCCATCATCTTGTGAGCGCAAACTAATTTGCCTTTTCTTTCCACCATATGATGAAGCATAATGCCTAGGCCTCAGGCCACAGTTTCCTGAGCCTTGCAAAAGGGCTTCTAACAGCTCCATCCACTCAGTGAGATATTACCCCATCTGAACTTCACCCTTTATTCATTTTGCCTCATCTACCTGAGTTCTGCTTTCATTTTTTAAAAATTAAATTGTTTCTTCCCACCTGAAGATAATGCCTTTTGGTCTCAATTTCCTCTGACTAACCTTTAAGTTATAGGAAAAAAGAATTTTGTTTTTACAACAAAAATCATCTCCTGGAATAAATGTAACTCATACAAAAAAAACCCACAGTATTTTCTGGATACACCAACAAATAATGCCAAATATTCAAATTTGTACTTGCCATCATGAGCAAAATTCCATTACACCCGAGATGCTCTGGCTACCAAATTATCGTTTTGAAGTGTACCTAATATCTTCATTGCTGGCTTCATCTTCTAGTGAATTCTGCCTTCAGTGTGAGTTCAAGAAGACAGATGTCCCTGGGTCTCTACATATGGAACATGCCATGAGACATATTGTTGCATCCCACTACAGAGATGACTTCTTAATAGAGGTTTATATATGGAAAGGAGAAAACGAGCTCTCACTTAAGTGGGAAACACTTTGTGGCTTAGTTTTTAAAACCACCAAGGAAAAAGCAAGTACAAATGACAGAGTGCAGATTGGTGGTGTTACTACTGCAAAAGGCGCCAGAAACTGCTATCAATGAAAACCACAGCTACTTTCCTGGGCCTACAAACTAATTCAAAGCAGGAGCAGGGCTGTCGTCAGAGCTTCCATCTTGTATGACCCTCATTAGCACATCATTATTTAAACATCACACGCAACCGGCTTGTTTCTCCCTGAGTGTCAAGGAAGAGGGAGGGGCCACTGACGCCAAACTCCAGGATTGGCTGGCGCTGCAGGAGGGATTCCCTCCTGTGAGAAGGGCCCACTTCCGGCTTCCCTTGAGCCCGGGCCCAGGGCAGCCTGGGTGAAAGGCACTTCCGGTCTGTCTGGTCTGTGTGTGCCCGCAGTGGCAGGAAGGCCCGCCCCTGCAGCGAGGCCCGCGTGGCTTCGGTCACCGGTGGGTGAGGGGGGTCGAGGAGATGCCAGGGGCTGTAGCTCCGGTCAGCCCTCAGCCCCACCCGCTCACTCTCCGGATAAGAGACTCCCGAGGGCCGGTCCCCTTCCGGGAGTCAGAACTGCAAGGCCCCAGGGAGACGACGGGGACCCGCGTTCCTCACAGAGGGTGAGTGCGTGACCTGCAAGGCCCCAGGGAGAGGATGGGGACCCGCGATCTTCACAGAGGGCTGAGTGCGAGACCTGCAAGGCCCCAGGGAGACGATGGGATCTTCACAGAAGGTGAGTGCGTGACCTGCAAGGCCCCAGGAGACGACGGGGATCTTCATGGAGGGTGAGTGCGTGACCTGCAAGGCCCCAGGGACACGACGGGGACCCGCGATCTTCACGGAGGGCTGAGTGCGTGACCTGCAAGGCCCCAGGGAGACGATGGGGACCCGCGTTCTTCACAAGGACTGAGTGCGTGACCTGCAAGGCCCCAGGAGACGATGGGATCTTCACAGAAGGTGAGTGCGTGACCTGCAAGGCCCCAGGGAGACGTTCTTCACCGAGGGCTTAGAGCGTTACTAGGGTTAAATTAACAGAGTGTGCTACACTACACCTGCCTTTGCTAGGGGTGGTGGTGGTGTTTTATTTCGGGAGGCTCCAGGGCGAAACACAGGAGGAGCTTTCTCACCTGTCCCATCGGTGTTGCGTTATCCTGATCGCTGGTGCCAGAGGCTTCCTTGCAAGGAAGCACCCAGCATACCGCATCTCTCACTCCTGTCCTATGGAGGAGGGTGAACGGCACCGGTGGGGAGAGGCCATGTTTAAGTTATGTTGACACTTCTACCTCTTACCCGATCTACAACCACCAAGGGGGAAACTGCGCTCTTCCCATCCTGCTCCACACCCAAGCAGGCTTCATACAGAGGGATTTTTCCTGTCTGTCCTGGGCCTCCATCTGCCTCTTTACAGCAGCTCATGGGCTGAAGAGTTTGCCTCGTCTGCAAGACTGAAAGCAAGTGTGTGCTCCACGCATTGCATGGACGTGAGTCCAAAGGCTTCGGCTCTCCCAGGCCCAGAACAACTAATGATGATTTTTAAATGTTTTCTAGCCAGGCGCTGGTGGCTCACACCTGCAATCCTAGCTACTCAGGAGGCTGAGATCTGAGGATCACGGTTCAAAGCTAGCCCAGACAGGAAAATCTGTGAAACACTAATCTCTAATAAACCACCAGAAAACCGGAGATGGCACTGTGGCTCAAGTGATACAGCACAAGCCTTGAGCAAAACAGCTCAGGGACAGCTTCCCATCACTGAGTTCAAGCCCCAGGAGACTGGCACACACACAAAAGCTTTATAGAGGTGATAGTAATCATGGTGGTGGTGGTGATGATGAAGATTGTTGTTCTTGGGTTATTCTGTATGTACCGCTGAACCCTGCTTTTTTGCTCACAGCTGGTGCTCTACCACTTGAGTCATGCCTCCAGTCTTGTATTTTGCTGGTTAATTGGAGATACAGTCTCAGATTTTTCTGCCCAGGCTAGCTTCAAATCTTAGTCTTAGCTGAGAAGCTAGCATTATATGTGTAAATCACAGGTACTTGGCTAATTATCATTATTTCTTTCCTACCACAATAACAATAGTAATTACTAATAATTCTAAGATGAAATTATAATTAAATGATATAATCAATTTCATTGATTAAGTTATATTATTCTTTTATTACTATCTCCTTCCTTTTAGGAAGGGATTTTGTGAAGGAATTACAATCTTCTGTCATCATCTGTAGGAAAGATTGGCCTCGTGTCTTGGTTTGAATGATCCTTCTAATGACTAGCCAGACAACTTCACCTGGTTTTTACACTCCACTGGGCACAATCCAAACCCTGTGGGGTTTCTCCATTCGGGAGTGAATCTGGCTTTTCAATTTTCAACCTGCTTCCAGAAAAAGTGGCAATGTTACTGCTGTGCCTTGCGTGGAAGAGTAAGGGCAGAAGTCGGTGATTTGTGGCGGCCTGGTCGCAGGCCTGGCTTTGTGCGGTTTCCAGGCTCCTGGCTCCTCCCCTCCGAGTGAGGGAGCGCTGATTGGCAGCATGGATGTGTTATTAAAA